CATCAACTTCACATCACTGGTTATCTGTACAGTGCAGGGGGGGAACATACAGAAAGTATCAGTCAACGAACTGTTCAAAAAGGAAATAGATCTCATAAGCCCACACTGCTTTCTCCCCCTTACTCACATCAGCATTTTCCCTGTGTCAACCACAACCCCTAGCCCTTCAGTGTTGACTTCAGGGGCCTGTAGGAAGCTGTTGCTCTCCACCTTTCCCTCCAAAATATGTTGATAGCTCAGATCGAAAACAATGATCTACCAAAAATATTTGCCACATACTATTTAGACTATAAACTAAAATTGACCTTTATTATTCAAATGGTAAAACCATACATGCGTGCACACACACACCCATGAAGCTAAATATTTCAGGCCTTGAACTTTATCTGACTTCACAAGGTGTTGTGAGGATTTGATTAAATAGCATAATCTGTGTGAAACAGCTTTGAAAACTGTATAAGTGTCAGACATTATAATTATTATCTGACTTTGCAGGATTAGTAACATATAACCGTTCCTCCTTCCCCTTCCCCCTCCAAACCTTTCAAAATATCCTGAGTCTCCATCTTGCCCCTCTCCCTGCCCAGAATTCAGCACATCATCTCTAAAACAATGACCCCTGTCCCTAAACATGGCTGTTCAATGACTTTATACAGGCCAGCCTCATCCCTAACTGGCCTTCTGCCAAGTATGCCATCCTGGATATCACATCACTAGGGAAATTTACTCTAGTTTCATAGCAGTAATTACAGCATGATGAGAAATAAGGACAGAAAATTGTTAAAAAGGAAAGAAAGAGCAGGGAGGGAGAAAGAAGGAAAACACTGGATAGCAACCTGAATCTGGTAACTTGGAGTTAGGCAAATCGATGTAAAAGAGTATATGATATGTTAAGATTTAAAAACACACACACTAAAAAATAGGTTGATCTGGGACATTTAATTATTTTCTTGTTTTATTTTGGTATTTGGTTTTGAGTCTTAAAAATCCAGCACATCAGCAACTATTAATAATAAAGAACACAGATACCTTCAATGATTCCTTACATTGCCTAAATAGCACATTTGGCACAGCTCTTTCTCAGTCCAATTCCTTCCTCAAAACCCACTTCTCCATACATTCCTTTAATCACAACCACCTACCAAACATTACCCTAGAAATAAAGTCTTCTGGAAAGCAAAGTCTAGAAAGGCAAACATCAGATGCCAGATACTTCCCATCTTAGAGCATCGTGTAACCTCACTTGATAATAGATTCTGTATTTTTATTTAAATTTAAGGCCTATTGAACAAACACTATGGCTACCTCAAGGTCACTCTGGAATTCTCAGTAAAAATTAAACAACCCAGGAGTCTAAGGCAAAATCTTTTGCTTCTTTTCTTCCCTGGCCTCAGCCTAATTGCAAAACACTTCCTTCTTTCTGCTACCTTGCCCTGCAAGGTGCATTCTTACATTACATGCAGACCAGTAATTTCCATCATCTCAGAAATTCCACCCTTACCTAGTAAAAAGTTAATTGTTTTCCTTACACTAAAGTCTCTCTCTTCCTCTGACATCAAACAACTGCTTTTATAATTTCCTAATTTTTCAAAACATTGTTAGTTAGCACGCACTAAATTAACATACTAACAAGTTATATTTTTACACTTTTCATTTCCTGACTTGTCTTTTTCCTGTTGAATCACTTTATCAGATTATAAAAAATTCGTAAGCTTTCTCTCAACTTAGGCTAAATTACTTACATTATAAAAATTTTCTATTTTGCTCAGTTTTAAAATAGGTAAATGACTTTAGTCATCTACTTTTACAAAATGAGCTTTTATAGGTATTCCAACAGCTTCATCAACAAGAAAGTCAACTCTTATGTGCTTCAAATAAACAATTTATTATCACCATGAAAAGCTAAGGTTTGTGTGATATTAATCCAATATTTTAAAGACTTGCTCAAAGAGAAAACAACACAAAATACAGTCATGTGTCACTTAATGATGGTGCTATATTCTGAAAAATGCATCATTAGGCAATTTTGTTGCTGTGTGGACACCATAAGGTACTTAAACAAACCTAGATAGCATAGCCTACTACACACCTAGGCCAGAAGGTACAGCCTATTGCTCCTAGGGTACAAATCTATACTGTACTGAATACTGTAGTAACTAACACAATAGTAAGTATGTATCTAAACATTTAAAGGTACAGTAAAAATACAGCAAAAAAGATTTAAAATGACACATCCATATGGGTCACTCACCAGGAAGGGAGTCTACAGGACTAGAAGTCACTCTGGGTGAGTGAGTTGTGTGTGAATGCGAAGGTCCAGGACATTACTGGACACCACTGTAGACGTCATAAACACTCTACATTTACGCTACACTGAATTTATAAAATATATTTCCCTTCCTTCAATAATAAGTTAACCTTGGCTTACTGTAATTTTTTTCTTTTTAACTTTTTAACTCTTTTATAATAACAGAGTAAAACACACATTGTACAGTTGTATAAAAATATTCCTTATATCCTTATTCTATAAGCTTTTTCCTTTTAAAATTTAATTTAAAAAACCATTGAAAACTAAGACACAAACACAAACACTAGCCTAGGCCCACACAGGGTCAGGATCATTAATATCACTGTCTTCCACCTCCACATCCTGTCCCACTAGAAGGTCTGCAGGGGCAATAGCATGCATGGAGCTGTTATATCCCATAATAGAAATGCCTTCTGGAGTATTTCCTGAAGGGCCTGCCTCAGGCTGTTCTACAGTTAACGTTTTTTTTTAAATAAACAGGCGTATACTCTAAAACAATAAAAGGATAGTAAATACATAAACCAGTGGCACACTTAGCATTATCAAGTATTATGTACTGTACATAACTGTATGTGCTAAGGACTGGCAGCACAGTAGGCTTGTTTACACTGGCATCACCACATGAGTAATGTGTTGTGCTACAACATGACAACGACTACAGCTTTACTAGGCAAGAGGAATTGTTCAGCTCTGTTATAATCTATGGGACCACCATCAGACATGTCGTCTGATGACCAAAATGTCACTATGCAGTGCACGACTGTGCTATACAAAGTCAGTAGTATACACGGCTGTACAAACTTAGAGTAGTCCCAAGGTACCAACTCAAGACCTGTAGCTAACAAAGGATGTCACTTTCCCTTGATTCTCCTGCTTATTTTAGTACTGAAAAGAACTTTCTCTGGATGTTTAAATGAGTTCATTAGTATCAAATCAAGTTAAACAGCTATAAGCATTATATAAATGAATAGGTATTACTAGCATAGTGAAGAAAATATTTCAGCATGGCAGGGACGGGTAGGGCAATGGCAGAAAGAAAGAGCGGGGAGAGAAAAACGAGAACGTCTCTCTGAAAGAAATGCCCATCTCTCCGAAAGAAATGTAAATGTATAAACCTATCGCCCAAGCTCCTCATCCGCAAGGAACTTTTCAACAGACACCCACCCTGCATTTGCTGATACACTGGCAGCAGCCTATTTAAGGCAGGAGTGTGATATGCTGAAAGGTCATACACTGCACACCAGTGTGGAAACGTCAGCGAGAATCCTCCACAGGGCCAAGAGGATGAAAAATCCTAAATTCTAGTCAATTTATTAATAAAGAGAGAAGAATATTTTCTTAAATACACGATTAATTTCACCACCACACTTTATTAGCATGACACACATTAGAACTGTTGTTCAAGATAGATGGGGATAGATACTTTACTATTTATTACCCAGAAGTTATGACTGCGATGTGAGATTTCAACAGAAGCCACAATTGTTTAACACCCTTTCGACATACTTAAGTTGATTTTATTTAAAACAGTATGGCACAAGGCAGCTAGCAACCTAATGTCAGGTTTCCAGACTGCTGCTACGAAAAGCCATCTGGACAAGAAGGAATCCTGTATTGAAACAAAATCCCTGAGGACTAAATGACAGCAGCACCTTCAAGTTCAAGACAGTGAACCAGTATCCCGTGTAAAGTGCAAACACTTCCAGGTTAAGTACACTTGAAATCATTGTAAGCAAAATTTCCAAAGTTAACTATCTTTAGCCTGGAGCTAGAGCAATCACCTAACTATACCCCCACCCCATCAACAATTTCCCTAAATCTCACTCTCACAACAAAATACTTCCAAACTTTCTCTTCTGAGTAAAATGGCGCTGCTTTTCCATCACAATGCTATTTATTTCTCAGTAATCCGTAGGCCCTTTAAACCATCAAATTCGATTGGCCTCATTTAAATGCCACCCTTCCCTAGACACTGTCAAGAGCTTTTTTGAGGGCTGGGCCAGGAGGTACCGTGGCTGCATCTATCGACAAGGTTGCAACTTTCTCAGCCAGAATCCTGGGATTAACTCCCTCTGACTTTTCTTCATAACCTGTCTGCCTTTCCCCAAACTGTTGCCTCTGTCTCTCTTAAGCCACACTCCAACGCAAACTGTCCCCAAAGTGCTGTAGCACTTAAGCCTCTCCGGGCCCCTGGCACCCATCGACGCCGTCTCTAAGGCACCCTGCACACGCAGACCCAAGCATCAGCCTCTCCGGGGGTCGCTCAGAGCCGCGCGCGGGGCAGGCAGCACCACCGGCCTCCCCAAAGCGCAGCTTTCCGCACCCCGTCTACACCCCGGTCCCTGCGCACCTGGGGCTGCCCCGGGACCCGACCACGGGGTCCGAGCGCCGCTGCCGCGGAGGGAAGGAACCGCATGCACACCCGCACGCCCTAACGACCACCCTTCCCGGGGGCTGTCGCTGGCAACAACGCCCGGCCCGGGGATGGGAGGCTGGGGGCGCCCTGGGGAGGGAGGGGGCTCCGGGACAATAACCGGCTTGGTGTCCCCTCCCTTCCAGGCAGTGGCGGACAGGGGGGCACTGGGCGCCCGGCCCCAGCCCCCACCCTCCTCCCGGGCCCCCGGTCGGGTGGCACCGCGGCCGACAGGGGCGGCGAGGGCGCGACGCCCGGCGCCGGGGCGCCTCGGGGTACCTGGTCGATGGGTAGCTGCACGGCGTTGCTGAGGGGCTGCAACAGGGTGGAGCCCGTGGTGCTGGTGGTGGCCATGGCCGGGCCTCCGCGCTCCGACAGCCCGCGCCGCTCGCCCGCTCGCGCTGCGCCGGGCAACGACGAGGATGGGGATGCAGCGGCGCGCCCGCCCCTGGGCCGCCCGCTGTCTGAGCGCGGAGCGGGGAGGGCCGGGGAGGGGCCGGGGGCGGCGCCCGGCTCGCACCTCCCCCTCCGCCGCCGCCTCCGCCCGCGACCGCCGCCCCCAGCCGCCCTGCACCGGCGCGGCCCCTCCTGCCGTCGTCGCCGCCGTCCCCGCCCCGGCGCCCCCGCCGCATCCCCCGCGCCCGACTTCCAGCAGCTTCCAGCGCCCCCTCCCCACCTTGCGCGCTCTCGCTCCAGACAGCTGCGCGGCCCAATCGCGGCGCGGCGCCCCGACGCCCGCAGCCAATCAGAGAGCGCCGGCCGCGCCACGCGCCTCCTCCGTGCCGAGGACCCGGGCGAGGGGGCTGAGGCGCGGCCCGGGCAGTTGCCGGAGGGCGGTTGGCGAGCGTCATGGGGCGCGCTCCTCGGGTGGGAGCGAGGAAGAGTGTTTTTGCCCCGCACCCCTCGGTTTCTCCTCACTGGAATGTCGCAGCCCCTCACCCCTCCCTAGGAGGGACGGCAGACCACAAAGGGTCCCGGGGTGGCAGCTAAAGCCGGGATGTGAGGGACGCGGCCGAGCCAGCGCAGGGGGCAGTTTGGGGACCAACGGGGGGGGCTGGGAGGACGACACACCAAAACGGCGACCTGGCTGAGAAGCCCCTTTGTCTGCGAGACTGCCCGGTGACAGCCCAAAGCTGGGAGCAGCCTCGAAGTCTAACGCTTTCGTCGCTTCCAGCCTCCCCGGCCTTTGGGCGGTGGGAGCCGGGCCTGGGTTCGACGCCCGCGGGCGCAGGGAGACCGGCTCCCCTTCGCGGGGTGAAAGTTTAGTTCTTTGGTAGCCGGCCGCCCCCGTTAAAGGCCCCACCTTCCTCCTGAAAAACGCAATTTCTAAGCATCCCTTCATCCCGGGAGCACAGTCACCCCCAGACCGTGGAAGTCCGCCAGGTTTACGTACCCTGGCAGGTCACGTGTGTGTATGTAATCCACTGGCCCCAAACTTCTTAGAAGTAAACCATTTGAGTGCCTTTAAAATGCAAACGTCAACTTCTGTTCGGAAGACTTTAAAAGAGGAGAAATGCCACAGCAATTATGAGGACAAATCAAGACTCAAGGATTTGGCAGTTTAACTTTCATAGAAATAACTAATGTTTACTGAGAGTTTAACCACAGCTTTAATACTTTTGATAGATAGCTCATTTAATTCTCACAATAACTGTGTGAAACAGATACTATTACACACCCTCTGTCAAGGAAATTGAGTCACAGAAAAGTTGCATAATTTGCCCAGGAGCACACAGCTGATAAGTAGATTGGAATCCAAGTAATCTACATTTAGATCCGACATTACCACTGGGCCTTTCTTTCCTTCACACTTAACACCCATTCCAGAAATTCCCATCAGCTGTCAGTTATACCATTGGCTTGATGACTAGCTTAGAGTCTTGAATAAGAAGACAGCACAGATAAAAATACACCTGCTTTAATAATCAGTCTGTGGGCTTCCATTTGTCTCTCTGAAGAGGAGGCAGTGAAACTCATCAGTGTAATCCCTTCTTGCTTAGAATTCTTTGATTGGTCGACTCAATCCTAGTTTGGTAGATTCTCAGCTGAACGGGAATGGGGATAGCAGGAAGAATCAAAAAACAGGGACCTTCGTTCCCCCTAAGGGAGTGTTCCAGTGGGAGCTGTAATCAGAGAGCTGCTTATTACAGTATATTAATCCAACAATCCAGACCTCTCTATGAATATTGTATTAGAAAAAAACTGATTTTTTCCTTTTCTTCACTTTGCAGAAGTAGAGGAAGTGCACAGGTGGCTGAGCATACAAACTGAAGAAAAATTGAAATACCATTTTAAAAACTTGAAAGGTGGGTGTTGGGAACATATTGCAACCTAAAGTAAGCAGCATGGAGATACAATCTCAGAGCTAGAACAAATAATGTCTGCAAAAAGGAGTATCCCTAAGCTGAATTTTTATTTTAGTCAGATATGACAGAACATAGTCTGTATTTGGGGTAACTACATGAAATTATTTAATATCTAGAATGGTTGGGCACAGTGCCTCATGTCTGTAATCCCAGCACTTTGAGGGGCTGAGGGAGGTGGATCACTTAAACCCAGGAGTGATCCAGACCAGCCTGGCAACATGGTGAAAAACCCATGTCTACAAAAAGTACAAAAATTAGCTGGGCGAGGTGGCACATGCCTATAGTCCCAGCTACTCAGTAGGCTGAGGTGGGAGGATAGCCTGAGCCCAGGGAGGATGAGGCTGCAGTGAGCTGTGATCACACCACTGCACCCCAGCCTGGGTGACAGAGTGAGACCCTGTCTCAAAAAAATAAATAGGCCAGGCATGGTGGCTCACACCTGTAATCCAAGCACTTTGGGAGGCCATGGCCGGTGGATTACTTGAGGTCAGAAGTTCGAGACCAGCCAACATGGTGAAGCCCTGTGTCTACTAAAAGTACAATAAAACTAGCCGGATGTGGTGGCAGGAGTCCCAGCCACTCAGGAGGCTGAGGCAGGAGAATTGCTTGAACCCAGGAGGAGGTTGCAGTGAGCTGTGATCACACCACTGCACTCCAGCCTGGGTAACAGAGTGAGATTCCATCTCAAAAAAATATTAATTAATTAATTAATGTATGCCTATATCTATATAGATAGAATAGGGAAGATTTTAGCCATCTGGGAAAATGTTGCTGTGTCAGAGCTACAAAGCTGTAGGTAAAATATAGTATAATAGTAATAATAGCTGAGATTTTAGAATCATACAAACCTAGTCTCTTCCATTTTTAGCAGCAAGATCTTGGGCAAGTTATTTAACCTTTCTAAGGCTCAGTTTCCTCATGTAAAAATGAGCATAATAATGGCACCAACTCCATGGTTTATGAGGTTATAAAGTTATACTTAAATTAAGAGCTCACAACAGTGCTTGGTGCATGATAAAATTGAAGAAAGATTCTATTAGAGTTCTCCAGAGAAAACCAATTGGATATATATATGTAGACAGAAGTTTATTACTACAGATTGGGTTAAGATTATGAAGGCTGAGAAGTCCCACGATCTGCCATCTGTAAGCTGAAGGCCCAGGAAAGCCAGTGGTGTAGGTCCAGTCCATGCCCAAAAGCCTGAGAACCACAGGACCCAACAGTGTAATTCGGTTTATGTCCAAAAGCCTGAGAACCAAGAGCAGTGGTATCCCAGGGCAGGAGAAGATGGATGTCCAGCTCAAACAGAGTGAATTCACCCTTCCTCCACCTTTTTGTTCTATTTGGGTCCTCAACAGATGTGATGTTGCCAGGGTATGCAAGTGAGAGAATCTTCTTTACTCAGTCTACCAATTCTAATGCTGATCCATGATCAAATACACATTGAGAAATAATGTCTCAACAGTTTGATCTGGGTACCTTTTAGCCCAGTCAAGTTGACACGTATTAATTCAAGAAATTTAGTATAATTCTGAAAATGGAAACCATTTGTTTCATATTAAAAATACTACATCCTTATGTTTTTAATGAAGAACTGAAGCTGGCATTTTAAGCTCATAACTCAGTGATGGTACCATAAAGTGTATACAGGCCACACAATTAGCCTGACCAGTATCTGCTAATTAGACCAAAACTTCTTCAGTGGAGATGAAAGGAAAAAGAATTAAACCAATCGTATATAATGCCTCACCACCCTACCTTGGATAACATCCATCCTATAAAAAGCAATTTTTGTGTTAAAACATTTTTTGACCGCTTACTGTGTTCAAGGAACTACGTGGGGTGAGGTAAAGGATAAATGATGCCTAAGATCGAAAGAAGAAAAAACAGTTGTATCCACAAATTCACATATTACAAGAAAAGTAGCAAGGAAGGTTCTTTCTTTAATGTTGAAAGGAACATGTCTATAAGAAAGAAGCTTAGCTGGAAGTTAAAAGACCTGAATTTTAACCCTAACTTTTCCACCAGATAGCTGTGAACTTTAGAAACTGGGCTTAACTTCTCTGTGCCTTAAGTTTTCCATTGTTAAATGTGAATAATGGTAACTGTTTGTCCTACCTCATAGCAGTGTTGTGACTATGAGCATAAACTTAACTATAGACTCAATTATTTTTTAAGTTACTAGTACTATTAGTCTGAGAAATAATAACTACTAGTAAAGGGATTTCAATATAAAAACCATATTGTTAACAAGAGTTACTTAGACCAAGGCATAGGAGCACCAGGCAGTGTCCACGTGTGGCAAGATGGCAACGTGGCAGTGCTCTGGTCCTGGCTCCATTGCCCTTGCCTCCTGAAATGGCTGTGATCATTAAAGATTGCTAAAATAAAATTTTTCCTTCCCAACTTATTTTTAACTTTGAAGAAACCACCAAGAAGAAATGAATATCTGCCAAGATGGTTTTGTTTTGTATAAATAGTATCTGTCATGAAATTAGAGCTCTCAGGCAATTATTTTGCCTATTCTATGCTCCTATACCCTGGAATAATTTTGATTGATGAAGAGCATTGAACTATACCCATAATAACAACCCAAGTTAACTAGAGGGGCATCTTTAAGCACTTACAAGCTCACCCTAGGCTGAGACTGTAAAAAATGACACAAGAATGTCACCCTTTAAGACCTAACATGGTTCAATTAGGACATCACAAAGTAGGCTGAACAAGAGGTAGCAAAGAGTAGGAGAAGTTCTGGCTCTACTGTTTTCTGGCTCCACCACTGATGTGGACTGTACCAGCAATCAAATCACTTATCTTCAATTTCATTGGGAATATGTTAAGAAATTTTAAAAATAAATGATTTCAATGGTCCCCTTTTCCTCTAAAATTATATGATTCCCAAGAATTTCTGGGACTTTCTCTGTCTCTGTGAGACTACAGTCTAGGTTATAATTAGGCTAAAAGATGTCAAGTGAAACTATTACTCATGAGTTTGGGAATAGCATTGCTTTCTCATTACTCCACAGGTTCCACAACTACCTCTTAATTTATTACATCTCTAATCAATCTTTCTTCTTAAAATGTCTATTATTTCTCAGGGACTACAAAGATTTCTGTTTTGTATCTGTGCATCTGGGGGAGACATTCTCTTTTCCTCATAGATTTATTTGGCGTTTTTTTC